CCTCTGCGTCGATGGAATGATGTATGTCGCACCTGTCATAGTAGAAACTGTTAGAGTAATCGCGTGGACGGAATGCTTTCCTTATGAATCGAAACATACCATCAGCTCCAGATGAAAAACGCAGAAAAAATTACCAGTATGTCTGTGAAAAGGCAAATCACAACACTGACAGTGGCTTATCGCTGAATAAACCAATAATATGCGTCGTTTACAACAAAACCGAGTTTTCTATTACTAGAGGGCGAGTTTAAAGATTATAAATAGGGATAATCATCGCCATATTTTTTTATTTGGTGGTATATTTTTCTCCGTATAAGCTGATTCGTTAATCTATTCTGCATGCCCATGTACCTGAATTGCATTTGTAACGTCGTTGTTGAAGATTTAGTTTTTCAAGCGCTTAATTATGTTAGCACAAAATGCAGTATATTGTCACACGTTAAATGTATATCAGAAAGTAATTAAGTTTGATACGTCTTTAACGCTTCAGGTCTATTTTACTGACTATCTGTGATGATGGACAGAAATGACGCATGAATGTTATCACGACCTTCCTTAAACTCATCTTTCTTTTAGGCTGTTGAAGAACTCTCTGATTTCCTTGCTACACCCAAGTCGCCCGATACGAGTCTTACACCCAGCACACCAGGAACCCCGCATACACCCAGTATACCGAGTCCATCTGGTACTCCCAGCGCATCAGATACGTCCAGTACATCCGGTGCGCTGAGTCTGCCCAGCACGCCAGCCACATGCAGCATACCCAATACACCAAATGCCATGAGTACTCCCAGTACACCTGACGTGTCCAGTCCGCCCAGTGAAGAGTTCGATAAAGCTATTAATGAGAACCAGGTATACTTATACGCGGTTCATCGTTTAATCACCGGGTGTACCACACTTTTCAGGATCTGCGACAGCTACTACTAGGCGACCAGAAAAACGTTCAGAAAGAAACAGAAAACAAAGATGGGGTTTTAGGAAAACTAGAAGAGTTGCGAAGAAACGCTCAGGAACTTGAAGTTAAGCTGAAAGAGTTGAAAGAGGCGCAAAAGCTAGAAGAAAGCGAGAGCGACGAGATCGAACAGGTAATTTTAGTCTATTCAAATTTTCTGTTGCTACTCTTGCTGTCCTCGGTTTAGGGATGCACAGAATTATGTACGGCCAATATTTATCACTATACGGGGAAGTTAACTGAAGCGAGAAAATCATGTCGAGAGCTTGAACTTCAAGTCTCTTCGTTGTTCTTCGAGTGTGATCGCCTGGAAACTGAAGCACAGCAAGCAACAGAAGAGACCCGCTGAAAGGCAAAGCACTGGTCTCGAAGTCAAAAGTGATGTCTATGCCTCAACTATTTGTTGTGTTAACGAAGTCTTAAAATGTTTGAATTTTTGTCGGCAGTTTCGCAGTTGCCATTGAATGGTTTGATAGTTGGTGTATCAAATGTTTTCATACTGCACAATGATTACCTTGCAATACAACTTTCTCTTGAAAATTTAGCCTTAATATTGATACACTTAAAAATTTTGTAGTGACTAAACCAGAACCAGTTTATTAGTGCAATGAAGCAAAACTTTTACAGAAGTAACATTCGATACCGATGTTTAGGCTTACTTTTCACAAAATCTGCCGCTTATGCTGGTTAACGCTTGGAGATAATGTTGTTAGGTTACGCTATAATGTAAAAATACCTGACCAATCCTTTGCTGTGAGCCTCTTTTTGTATCGAAAACGCGACGTTTTGGACATTGTCAGGACGCGTGAAGAGATAATCACAAGATACCTTCGCTTTGCAAATCATGATAGACCAAAGCTCGGGTTTCTCGAGTATACTGAACACCTGACTTTGACATTATCTGAAATCCAATGCACAGAACCAGCTCACTTGGGAATTATCAGCTGCCGTTCCCGCAATCCCACTGAAATGAAGTAATGCGAAACTTACTGAGTTATCAGTCGTAAACTCGTCAAAACGGAGATCCATGAGCGAAGATATACCAATATCGTGCAGCACTGCAGCTTTAAGGTAAAATGCTATTACGATATGTCGGATGTCTGTTCGTGATCTCAAATCAATGCTCTTCGAACTGACTATCTTCTTGGGAAAAGAACGATATGATGTTTAGCTCATGCTGTTCATGATGAACGTGCTCGCTGATATCATGATGAAGGTGAGTCGATCAACTATTTGTCAGGGCAGTGTCTTTCACAAATGTTAATAGAATGAACAAAACGGAGAGAAATCTGTTGCTCACGGTATAATTGTCTGCTGCGCGTGTTTTATCAGCGCTAAAAATATGCAGCGATGTTGTTTGCACAGTGCATCTGCATCTTGTTTGTTTACTACTTACCTAAATGGTCCGCTTAGCCGCACCGTACGTTTACAGTATTACTAGCACGAGAAAAAGAATATTTTTCTACCTACCACAACAGAAAAAAAACCAACACCTAGTGCTCTGAAACAATGCATCCAAGCAAGTTTTAACTTTCCATTTGGCAACAGAGTTGTCCTCAAGAAACAAATGGACACCCATAACGGCCACTTTAGTACTTTAATAACAAGATAGAGAAACAGTCTTAAAAATAACTTTATATCTTCTCCAAACTGTCAAATCATTCAAACAGTAATGGTTATATTGGAAGGAGAGAAATTCAGTCAGCGCAGTTTTGAAGATTCCAAAAGATCTTCGCATTTCACAATTGCAGTAAAGTCAAAAATAAGTCGACTGATGTATAAAAGAAACGTGCTAACGATCGATGATTTCCATTGTAACACAGAAAGCAGAGGCAAAACGATGGAATGAGCATAGAGTTATTAGAATAAGTCAGGCGCGAAAAAATTCTGATAAATACGGGGTTCAGTAGTTGGAATAAACAAGAACAGCCAGATCAGAAAGCCGAAAAGGTACGAAAAGCAAACGAGGCATCTTTTGGAGCGCTGAAGGCCATAAACAGTATCGCACTCAGGTAAGCCCATCCGATTGCAGAACGAGTGGCACAAAACGGCTGCGACGAAATGATCTATGATCAAAAGAAGAATTGATAACAGACACGACACGTCAGTTAGTAAGGCATTACCGGTTCTAAGATACAGGAATGACGCGTAGAGGCCGAATATGTATGTGTAAAACGCCTGGAAAGCTGCAAGCAAAGGACAAGTTAGACTCTGTGAGAACGGCCTGCTGTCAGCAACAACAAGTAGCGATACTTACCACAAATATTGATGCTCGTTTTCCAGCTGTAACCCAAACGTCGTTGTTCAATGACGTGATGGAAATGACCCATGGAGAAGAACAATGGCACTATGAACAGCGACGTCTTTGCCGACAGACAATTTTGCAACATGGGTAGTATGCAGCAGCGAAATGCGAATTCCTCGGTCAACGGCGCCTGAAACGAATAACTGCGAGTACACTTCCCAGCCGACCAACCAATTGGGCGATCCACGTCATGTAACGTGAGGTCACTTACGAGCACCAGGTTACGCAATGTTATGCAATCGGGCCGTAATGACTCCCAGTCTGAAATTAATACGGTTCAGTATGAATAATCCAAAAGTGACGAGAATGTTCGTACCCAGTCTCCAGCAGCCATCGACGATACTTAGTACAATCGGTCCGAGGTAAAGGAACTACGAACACAAACAGTAAGAACGCGGATCTTCAGGCGCCTGACAGCCGACGAGTTGGCTGATACTTACTGCAGTCAGCTGTAAAGGCAGCACAAGCGCCGGCAAAAGACCAGAGGCACGAAATCCAAAAAACTGCGCGTAAGTGAGGTTCTGAAAACCAAAACCGTAACGCACAAGAAACGAATCCCCATTACGACCCAAATAAACAGAAACGAACCTCATTCTTCCAATATGAAGCAGAGTAGCCGAGAATAAGGCAAGCGACGCAGGCGCCAAAAAATCGCCGCCAGATCGTCTTCTTGTCGTCCCTAAAACCACCGAACAGACGGCATAGAGCAAAGCGACGAAACTGGCAGCTGCAAGAACCTGATGAAGCATCCCCAACTACAAACCCGGATGCATGCGATGTACACCAGCGGAACAAGGGTAGCCGAAACAAACGACTTGCAACAAGAAATCGTGGTCATTACTGACCAGTGGTCTCGAAAGCATCTAAATCGCTGAAAGGAACTGCAGAACAACTGCAAAAGTGAAAGGCCGTGAAAACTTTACTCAGCGATGATCTAACATTACAAAACAGCAATTAGGAGGCAAACGCCTTAAGCTTTACCGTCATTACACGGATGTCGCTGCCTCGCCTGATCAACGGACACCTATACCTCTGTCAAACGAAACGCTTTGCCGGCAAAACCTTCTACGTGAAAATGCGCAATGACGACTCCATTTCTAAATTTGTCATTAAAGTTCCGGAAAAAACTGAAGTCCATCGCATTATGCATATAGATACTTGACACTGTGGACCGATTCATGAGCAATGTATCAAAATTCTCTTAAACTATGACACAGGGCTAAATATTTTTCAAATAGATCGCATATCAGATATGAAGTAACATGTAAAGCAAACAAATTGGAATAGCAGGTAGACTCAAAACATCGTATTTACGACTGCAGCAGTCCGGGTCAAAGAAAATGGCAAATGCGGTATTGAACATCGTAGAATGGATCAAATACCGCAGGAAGCAATAATAATCAATCTAATAAAAAAGGATTTTAAGGCGTATTGATTCAAAATTCCTCAACGGCTATGTAAATAAAGCGTTGCTAAATGATGCAATAACCGAGAGCCAGACGCGCCTCGCGTCACTCGTCACAATATCCTGCTGGTCGCCAACGATGTCGCAAGAATGGTGATTCTTCGTAGTCATAAAACATCAAAAGTATCGGTTGGTATGCTCAACTATGTTCGAAATCGAATAACTCCTCAACAACTGAATTTTACGGCGCACTGACTTCGTTATAACGAAAAATATCGCCGCCATATCATATAGCGAAATTTATCCACAAGATGCGGCACGCTGTTCGCACAAAGAAGGTTACTATCTGAAACGCTATGTCCAGGAGACATTTTAAACTCCATAACAGTGCTGCAGGGACATTCTTAACAACACTAAGACCTCATGGACGAGTAGAAAAGTTACATGTTTCATTGAGCTTTAAAGGATTTTACCTGGGAGAAGCAATCGGTCAACATGCTTACTGACCTAGTATTTATCCCCGCAATGAGTTCTTTATTCATAAGCAGCACTACCTAGGTTACTCACCTTTGAACATAAATTCTGGACTCCAGACTATGCAGTTCCTTTTCTGCAATCGCTAAATATTTATACACGCTTCAAATTTGATACATTTCTTCATTGCTACAGCTACCATCTAGAGGTGTCTAGCACAGAATAGGCGTGTGAATGACTGTGTGAAATTGACAGACAGAACTAATCAATGCATTTTTCTAGTAAAAAGGAGATCAAATCTTCAGAAAAAATAGTTCGTGAAAGTTTTAGCTTTCGTCAGCCGGCTTTTAAGATAAGTGACTGTGTAACAAAAAAAGTAGCATTAAATAACGAAACATTATTGCTTACGAACAGGACACCGCTATATATTAAAAACAACCCCAGCTACATTGACTAACATAAAAATGCTTAAATACCATCAAGTCGTGTCATGCTAGGCAACTAAGGGCAACCGCGCAATACAATAATGCCGTGTGCACCCACTAGTATAAAAGTGTTTATGAACCTAGCCAGAACAACAATTATTGCAGTATGAAGGGCATTTTGTAAACTAATGAAAGCAGAAAAACCTCTGCTATCTCTATAAAACTGAGATGACAACGACAAAAAGCGTGGCACAAATTTCACTCCGTGACGACATTCTCAGCAGAGCAGTCAGACAGCAAACCGGCCTGAAGGATATCATCGTGGAAAAACAGAATAGCAAATGAAAAGATGCTATGGACTGGATACGTGATTCAACTCACTGAGCACTGATGGACGACGGCTACTGTCAGGTGACACCGAGGGGTCGTAAACAACCGGTCGCCCACACCCCAAAACGGTGAGATGGCTTCGGCTATAACTTACAAGAGCCACATGCAACGAAACACCACCGATAAAATGTAACAATATGCGCGATCAATATGAATACTGGATAGCTGTCAATTTACCTGATTTCGCATTGTGTGTAGCAATGTACTCCAGGGCATCTGCAGGTAGCTCTGACAGCCCACAGGTCTTTATTATAATTTTGGCATTTCACTGGTATGCGGGCATTGAACATGAACTGTAAGAATTTTTAGGTTTCGCATCAAAACTTGCTTTATGCAGAAATGGTATTTCGCTATAATCGAATTTTGCTGTACGTCCATTTCTCGGTGGCGCTCTTGGCTAGATGGCTCAATAACACTCAATCTCCCGTTCAGGCACAAGTCGATTCCAAATGTTCGTTTAATGACCCAACCAGTTTAGTGAGAAGGACTGAGGATAAGTTACGTCATTCAAAGGCATTATGTGATCAACAACAGCCGTATAGCACCGATGACGTTGAGGATGTACTGCACCATGTTTTGCAGAACCAACTGTCACTATGAAGCGCACAGCGTTGAACAATTTCGGTTTTCACCTCTGAGAAACGGCGTCTGATTAAACATAGAGAAAAAACCTAACTCTGCACATCGAACCGCCGCAAGAAACAGCGAAGCAATACTCGCAAATGATTTCAACGAGTTCAAGATTAATTATAGGAAGAAGTCGGTGATGCGCACAGCAACACTCCGAAGTAAGCAGAGAAAAGTCTAGAAAACGTTGCAACCTTTATTCAAAGCAACAACAAAACAACGCAATCGTTGGACTACGATCAGAGGATCATCCGGCATGTTGGTCAGTTAGTGATAACCGTGAACCACTGTCGCAGGGCTTCGGCCATTACAGCCGGCAGTGCGGATATTTTCCTGAGGAAGATGTAGAAAGGAAACGGAAAGAACTCCATGTACGGCCTTATTTCTAAGTCCGTTGAGCCCGGACGAAACATGGGCACCTTCACGTTCAGTATCGAATTCTACAAACACAATATGAAAACGAGAGAAGACGTCGGCAGCGTGAACGTGCCGTTACCTTCGAGCTGGCATCGTCAATAATAATGAATACGATGAACACGTTTGACCTGACAGCGTGCTGCACGGCAAGCTTCAATTTGTTAATACCTTCTGAAAAAATTCCCACACCGTCCGACACAATCAAAAGAAGTTGTGCCGGAAGTTCGAAACCGGATGACGGAGCAGTGAACAGTGCCTGGCTCGTTTGAAAATATGAACTAGCAAAGTGCAACAGCTGTGCGAAAAATATTAAGTTAAAATAAGAACAGACACACGATTAAAAATAAATTCACCGGAATAAGATCAGTTTTCGTCTGCTGGAAGGTCAATGAGTCCAAGACAAGAGATCCCGCAGACGAAGTGAACGGTTCTGAAAACGGATGCAACAGTTCAGGCGAAGAGCCGAACTTCGAAACAGCCAACTTTCCCACCTCCAAACGACTCAACGCCGTGCTCAACAACGCAAGAGATTCGAAAGCCATCTGCAACGCAAACAGTCACTGTTAGCATCAGTCAGTGCTCGAAATTCAATCATTAGGGAATACCGATTTCAAAAAAGCAACAGTCTATTCAATTAGCTGCGGATTTCAGATAAGGGATAAAACGCTGAAATATTAGTCAATATCTATGCTAATTAAGAGGCGCATCGTAACCGCCAACAGCTAAAAATGAACATAAAAATACAATGCAATAGAATCTACGTCAGTACCTCACGCCAAGAACAACGAATATCGCAACTCAAAGCAATAATGAAACTGTAGTACGTCATGAATTCGTACCATCATAACTGTTGCAACCAAGTGAACGACGTTAAATAATGTTTTGCTTAACTTTAGTTAACACTTTTGGATAAGGAACTCATCAGCTATAAAATTCAAGCAGTAAAAATTTTTTTCATTCTATTGAAACTGTTCTCGATTACCATTATAGTTATGTGTTAGGGAAAAAAAGCAGTAGCTGTCATGAATATGCTATAAATGTACTACACCGTAATCTATGAAGCGATTCTAAATAATGTGTGTATAATTTCAAGTATATATCATCATCATCATCATCATCATCATCTTCCATCGCCGCTTCTCCTTTCGGGTCGCGGAGGCAGACGCGT